AAACTCAATGTGCTGCCGTCCTGGTGTGATTCCAAACGGGGTCAACGTCGCGTTTGGGGCCTCAGATGCGGATCTTCGAGCCACATTCTCGAGTAGAAAGAGAGATTTGGAAAAGAAGAAATTAATGATCTTTATCGAGTGATTCCTTTCCATCGGTTCCGACGACAGACGACGTCGCTCGTTGACGTTTTGTGAAAAAAATAACAAAACGAAAGAGCGCGAGAGTAGGATAATCGTTTCAGTTCCCGACGCAATCGTTACAGCGTCAGCGCCCACGCCTGGATCCGACACGGGGCGGCTTATATTTTTCATATGGCTTCTCGGAAACCTCCTGGGTTTCCGGGAGATTCACGCAGATGGATGCGGACCTAACAGAGAGTTGAACAAACTTCTATCAGCCCATCCTCTCACTCACAGAGAATCCAAATAATTTCCTATCCGATCAACTAGAGAGCGGTCATCATCGAGTTAACAATAATTGAATTAAATTCAATCGGTGATTACTGCGCGAACAGCTCTGGGCGTAGACTCAGCTCGGAGTCTAAGTAAGCTGCTCGGGCTTAGTTGGACGCACCCACGACTCCTTACTCGGTAAATGTGGTAGATGGTGCATTTTTTTATTATGAAACGCGGGTTAAGAATGAAATGGCAGATTTGAGGACGATTCGGCGGAAATAGATGGGTAAGCATTTGAAAAATCGATTGAGCGTCGATCGTTTCCCGCAAGATCCGACAGCGAGCGCAGCTTGGAATCGAGGCCCAGGACCAGTAGGAGGAGCTCGAAAAGCACAATGGCGACAGCGAGTACACAAGCCAAGAGTCGAAAGCGATGGAATGACCGACCCATGACACGGGTAGGCTCCGACGGATTTTCGTCGATTGAATGATTCCACGAGAAAATTTGTCTTCCGATGTCATCGAAAATCAGTCAGCGTCCATGCAAGGCTATTACAAGCTCGTGGGCTGGCCCCATGGATGCCTCACTCGATCATGACTACCTACTATTCGTGCCTCCGCTTGCACAATGCATCCCGGCAGCGGACAAAGCTGAAGACAATGAACAAAGCATCAAAGCAAAGATTCCGCGAGGAATGGCGCAAAAAAATGAAAACTCTTTTCACCGTTAAATCATTTCGGCGGACTTCCTTTCCGCGTTCATGTACGTCTTGATGAAGGAGGGAAAACAAGCTATCGCTCCATGAGGTACAATTCATGGAAACGACTCAGGGCATTCAACCGGAAAACGCTCTCCGAACTCACACAAGGAACTCGATCAAAATTCTGATAGCGTTGACCGATTGCCGACCGCTCGGACGTCACGGACTCGACTCCCTTCGCCTTGATTGACGCCGTCTTCGAGCGGGAAGATCGAACGCGTGCTCTGAGGATGATCACAACGAGCACGGCGCTCACCTCCCGTCATCGAGCGCGGCCGTACGGCCAGCGGCTCGATCCGAAGTCACTTTTCGAGCCGACTCACTTGGGTGCAGGAACTCGTCACATTAACGCCGATCCCAACATCACGAGATTTCGCGAACAGAAGCTCCATACGCTTAATCCATGCCAGACTAAGCGGTAGCGACTGCGTTGTCGACGAAATTTTCTGTGTCAAAAGTTCGGATCGTCTCCAGAATACTCCTCCTCGTATTTGTCCAGTTCAGCTTGTTGCCAAAATTGTAGACCAGGGAGAAAATCGAATTTCCAACTTCTTGTCTACAACAATGCTCTCCTCGTGCTTATCAGGGGTATATGCAGATTCAGATAGCGCGTCGGGTCCCATTACGGCTCATCATCGCAGATTTCGTTCCATGCACTCGCAAAATCATTATCCGAATTGCCAAAGAATAATCTTCTTATGGAGCATTCCTGCCTGGACGCTCAACGTGCGCTGCCCGATTCTACATTCCGATGTAGATCGTTGTCATGCAAAAAGGAAGAAGTTGGTCAATCAAGGAGCATTTCGCTCTGGCTTCGTATGGTGCATCCGATGCGAGGCAACCGATAAGGAAAAACACAATGTGCATGTCATTGAAAGCCGTCCAGAATTTCCCCAAGCGGGAAGACCCGTGCGTGAACGAGAACGCTCACCGATTCGCGCATTTCTAGAAAATCGCACAGCTATCAAACAGCAACCGAATGTCACTGGGAACGTCCTGAAGCGAACACGAGGCGAACCGCTCGATTCTCTCAATTCGAAGGTTCTCTCGGGGCCAGAATAAATCAAGAGACGCTTCCGAGTTTCCCCTCCTCGTGTTCGGCTCTGGGCTCGGATGAGCTCTACGAGAAGATAATAATCATGACCCGAGGCAATCGAAACAAACATTTCTACTATCGAAGTCCTCAGATGAAGCCTCTCGCGACGTCCGGCTCATGTTCCTAATCGAATGTCAATGTGACCCGCGACCAAAATCGTTTCATGAACGAAGCGAATAGCGATATTAATTCGATGGGAAGCGTGAAAATCCGATTAAATTGATTTCGCTTTGCGAGCTCACATAGCGTGTCAGTCTGTGACAAAGTGCGAGCGAGGTCTCTGACACTCTTGAAATCGATGGGGCGTTGCAGCGTTATCTGAATCGGCCGCCGACCGTTTTTTTCCCTTGCCAGCCCGATGCCATTGTTTATTAATTTGAAACTACGCCTGACAACGTGCGACGCGCGACCGTCGCTTCACAAATTCCTTCCCCTATGCATTCGACCCTTCCGGTCTGCGAACGGCGAGGATGCTGAGGCTCCGCTGAGGTACATTGTGGGAGAGTCGTAGCTCATTAAGTCTGCCTTGTACGTTCATGCGCAGACAACTCCCACTCCGGCGTACGCCGTTCCTAAAACGTTCGAATGGAAATTGCCATATTTCAGTGATGGAGCACTCGGACGTTTTTGGGACTTCTCCGTTCGATGCACCTAATCGATCATGGAATGAGCTTCCGAAAGGAAAGCTTGACCTGAGCAAAGCCTACGGGACTCCGGAGGGTTCGAGGTCGGGAAGTCGAATCACAGAGCTTTTGGGCTCCGCGATTCGCTTCTGCCAAGACGGCGTTTACGCGTGCCTTCGATCGCTCGGCGGAAATCCTCTTTGTCTCTTGTCCATTATTCAACGATGTGAGCTTCTCTTTGGGTTACAGCATCTGATAAAGATGAATTTCACGCAGAAAATAGCTTCCCTGTTCGGAACGTCGTGAGCGGAACTCTTCGGTGAACCCGAACAGTGAGTGAATAGAAACAATCATTGTTCTCCCCTGAATTTTTTAGTACGCTGAATCGCATATTAAACGGAAACGTTCTGGTTCACTGTACGGAAGCTTCCGCAGTATTGAATTCAATGCTGCGGAAAGGAGGGGGCTTCCCGAGGTCAGCCGGCTCTTTCCCAGAGGGTCTCTCGGCTAACGCGCTCGAATCGTCGCCGGCGAGAATTTTTCCTTTCTTATACCACGAGCTCCAACTTCCAGGGCAGCTTCTCCCACACCGCGAAGCTCTGTCGTCGTCCACCTCCCGTTCTGTCGGAAGCAGCCGGACGCACATCATTGTCTGGCTGTTCTCGACTGATGCTCCAGAAAGAGCTCCGTACACTGATGCCGCGATTGCTTTCTTGCTTCAAAGCGACGTCGCTCGCGGCGGTGACGGCACCCACAGAACTTCGTTCACGGACCATTCGTTAATCTGAAAAGTTGTGCCTCGCCTGTCTTCCACCGGTTCAGCAGCTATTGGCGTTCGATGAATAAAAACCATCGATGACACGTGGTTTCAGAGAAGCTGACAGCGTTTTCCGAGGAGATCGTTGTTACTGTAGCAAGTTTTCTCGTGAAGAGCAGTGGAGCAAGTTTCCATCTTGGACAGCCCGTCCCATAGAATCTCGCAGAAAGACAACGACGAATAAATGACCGACTCCTAGCTGGATCGAAGAATCGGTCGAAATGACAAAGCACATGTAGTAGTCATGTCGAGTCAATGGCACCAGCCCACCGCAAACATGTTGCCACAGAAACGTAAATCAATCTTCTCTTACATATAGCGAACGGACGTCACGGCGACGGGCCGTCGACGATGAACACTGATACCGACGACGCTATATTTTCCTATATTGTAGCTCCGGACGCCGACTATTATTCCGCCGGGATGATCCGTTCGCTCACTCGATTGCGAGATACACGGCGACGATGATAAGCTTGACGAAAGAGCAGAACGCCCGTGCGTCCGATCAAACGCCCGAACAGTCGTCGACCAGCCTCCAAGTTCGTCGTAACGACTCATCGCGGTCACTTCGGTGCTCGCTATTCGCTGCTCTCGAATCACAGAGATGGGGAAAAGTTATTCGACCTCCCCCATTGGGAAAAATCGACATAGCCCTCGTGGCTCGCTGACCCATTGTTCACCGATGTCGCCCGGCTCTTGCCTTGATGATGCAGCGAAGCGCATATTCCCGCGGATAATGACGAATTCCTGTTCCTGGATGAACAGGGAGACGTGTTGTGTCTGAACAAACACCTGAAGCGAGCACCGTCAACTCGATCGCGATCATCCGTTCAGCGGCATCGATGCAAGTGCATATTATCGTCGATCCGTGACGAAGGGAGCCAGAAACGAATAAATCAACAGACTAACGACCATCGTATCGAGGAACGAATATGTACAGTCGATCGATGCCGAACAAACATGAAGGAATTGGCTCTCGTTCCACGATATAAATAGCCGACCAGCTTCGAAAGCCCGACCGCAGTGAGAATCAGTCGAGAAAAATTGAGATTATCTCACGAATTGGCGAATTATTATCGTCCACCGCGCAATCGTTCGTCGGAAAGGGTCGACTTGAATCGATCCCTCAACATCGCTCGGAGCTCGATGTAAAATGCAGGAATTCATTTCAGGTCGGGTTGAACCGAGACGATATGTTTTCACCGTGGAGCGTTTGAATTCCGCCTAGCTCGGGAACGCAAATCCCGAGATTATTGCTTGGCACCTAAAAATCGCTCTGCAGATCCGCAGCTGCATACTCTACTCACCTCTCTCCAGCTCCAGAGTAGGGAGATTCGCGAGCTCCACGACGTCTCGTAGAGGTTCGGTGACGGTATCACCTCCTCTGCTAGTAGTGCGTCTCAGATCTGTGAGCGTGGGGCTGCTCGAGACCGGCGAAGATGCGTCCACAACCGACCCAGCCGAAGATGATGACGAGTTGAAGGAGTCGCCCGACGGTGAACAGCGTTCCATACCGACGAGGTCGTCCTCCGACGACGAGGAAGACGAGTCGTCTTGGAGCATCGGTTCCAGATCCGGCTTGTCGAGAAGCACAGGACTGAAATCAGGGGATCTATCATGGAGACGTGGTCATCATGAATTCGGCTTTTCGACACCGGTTTCCGCGATTCCGGAACCCTCCAGCAGGCAATCGATTCCGCCCGAGACTGCTGCCGACTGGGATCCGCAGATCAATACGTTCCAGAATCCGGCAGCGACTGACAGCTGTCGACGGTTCAAAAAGTCTGTAGCCGTTCCACGTTGAGTGCCATCGTTGAGGCGGCGTCCGTTTTTAGAGGGGAGAATGACCGGTGAACAAGATGAAAACACTCACGAAGACGAACAACCTACTCTTTCAACCGTAGGAACTCGAGCGGACGGGGAAACAAGGAGCGCGCGTCACACCGAGTTTTTTGTTTGTCTCTACACACGCCTCCGAAATTCGGTCTGCCTGCCAAGTCGTTCGAGTTCTCACTCCGTGACCGAACCTGTACGACACAGTTAGGACCTCGATGACAGATCGACAGAAATCTTCAAACTTTCCATGATCCGAGCTGGAGACGCTCATGTTTGTCTTTTGTCTTGGTAATTTTGCGCTCCGCATTTGGGGCCTCTGACATCTCTCGTCGGTGGAATCCCCGATCAGCAAGTCCCGCAAGGACGCTCCTAATCAGAATCCTTTGCACACACTTACGGCTCAACAATGATTTTCCGAGCTCGCTTGGATTCTCCATCGAGCAGCGGACTCTGGCATTTGGCAGCTATTATTTGGCACTTCGGATCTTCGGTCCCAACGGCTGTCGCGGAGACACTCTTCGATGCTTCAACGGAACGCTCCGATATCTTTTCCTGTGCTACCTCGGATATCTCCGCCGCCGGTTGTGGATCCGGAGTCTCACTGAGCTCGGTGTCCTCAGCTTGGAGCTGAAAAGAGAATTAAGGGTTCGCAGTGAGATCTGGGATCTTCGATTTTCCGACGGGTTCGACTTATCAATGAGCTGGACCATGAATGGGGCTCCCCCCGACCGCCGGAGAATCAGCTTCAATCTTCCAGGCTCGATAGATGTCGGCGATCAAATAGGCGGGCCTCGGGGATTCTCGCGCCCATAACTCTCGGAATGACCATGGCTCATTTTGATCGAGATTGATGTGTGTCTTCCCGGCTCATGTGTTCGATCCATATTTCGAGTGAATTCTGGGCGGTTCATTCTAGACCCTGACTTATCATACATGCGTTATAGCATTATTATCAAAGCTTGCGATACATGCTTCGCTCAAGATGAACTCTACGACCCCGGAGCGGAGTCCACGGCCGAAAGCACCTAGACCGCAAGTGGTTCGAGTATTCGTTGACGTTCAATCTGTGCTGGTAACCCACCTTCTGCACGCTCGGACGTGGAGGAACTTCAGGCATTTTCTGCTCCATCTCCATCAGCGGATGCATCGCTCTTTCCAGCTCGAAACGCGGAAGAGGCGGTCTATCGTAACCATAGGCGTGTTCAGAAAAGCTCGAATTCGCAGTAGACGACCGACTGTTGAGATAGATCTTATGAGTTACGGCTTGTATGAGGTACCGTGGACAGGGATCGTGGATGAAGTGGAACGAAATGGTGCCGGTGAGGGCTGTAATATGCGAGGATCACCTGTGCAACCTATCGATCACGGTCGATACCGATGAAGCCGTATCGTCTGACTCGTCGACGTAATTATCATCATCGTCGGCGAAGAGATCCGTATACGCTTCGGCTTCCGCAGGCCTCAGAAACCGTGGTCTCTCCTCCGACGAAGGCGCACTCCGTGTTCGCTGGAGAACAGTCCGTGCACCATCTGGCTCGTCCGCAGAATATGTCGTCCCTGACAAGGAATTATCCTCTTCATTTGCGTTGACATTATGTGCCTCAATCGAAGCGATGACGCGCGAACAATTCTCTTCCCCCGCGTTCTTCGCAGGAATAGAGTTGTCATTCATAATGAACAAATAGAAGTGCAGAAGATCATCTGATTCGGCTTACGCTGCTGATTGAGCTTGTGATCGTCCTTGCGCGGCGGAGGCGGCGGAGGCACACTCTGCGATCTGACCTCAACCGGTGAAGACTGATTCGTAGTATCCTCTTTCGATACCTTTCGCGGAGGTAGAGGCGGTGGAATCGAAGGCCGTACGATCGAGCCGTTGCCTATTCGATCCAGGCTCTTCGTTGACGGAGATTTACTGTAAGTTGATAGCATGATATACTGGTCGTTAGGGCACTTCGTGCGCTGTAGAGCTGTGATGACATCATATTGGAAAGGTTTCATACTTTCAGAAAAAAACAGCGGTAGTGGAGAAGAACTTGAATCTTGCGGAGAGGATACGTCGGAGCGGTTTGAAAAGTATATCTTGACCTCACTCAGGCGATTGAGCATCGATTGAAAAAAATTGAAGCGTGTCCGGAGAGGAAAGCGCCGAGGATTGCCAGGTGACAGAGAGAAATTGTGATTTCATTCTATAAAGGGATGTATTGTAATTCGCAATGATAATTGAGAAAGAACCGCTGTCGCTTGACTCCCTACGACCATAGCCGATTGACCGCGGCAGATTCTGAGGTCAAGGCAAAAACTCACACAAGGATAGGGGGTGACTCCGCGGAAGTTTTCCGTGGGGGTATTGGGGGAGGTTCCCTCTTGTTGCGAGCTGTGTCGGTCGCCGTCGGGGGCTCGACAGGAAGTTGTATGTAGCCCCCCATGTGGCGAATGACGAGATTGATGCACACGGGCGCGTCTCGCAACAAGGTCACGCAATCCAATCTGGTCATTGAAGTTACCTCGCGCTCGCCAATCTTCAGAATCTCGTCGCCTTCCCTGCAAATACCAAGGTGAAAGTTGGAGAATGGATCAAGCAGAACGGTTTGAGGTGAGGTTCGCGCGTTAAGGCAACGCTCGCGATCAGAGCATGGGAAATCAGCGCAGTACTATATGTTCAATGCTATATGTTCACTACAATAGACAATGTTCCGGTCTCATCGTCGGGAAGTCGAGCTTTCCTAGCATGAGACAATGTATCGAGTAGGTGCATCGTTACCTTATGGGAGCGAATTTGCTCTGTGCGCGTGACGCCGGGCTCTCCGGATTGATGCTCTGAATAAAAACTTTCGAAACGGTGTCCCCAGCGTTCGTGCCTCCGACGAACTTCAGAGCCATTCCGAGGCGCTCCCCGGGTAAGCGGTAAATGGTCGCGTGGTCAAGAACCTCGCTAGCCATGGTTCCATTGAATGGTCCCGCTGTGTTTTTGACCTGAAATCGGTGATTCGTCGCTTGATAGTCAAATTTATTTTTTCTGATATCGTAGGGGCTCGAATCAACATTCGTCTCGCATATATTCGTCTCCGCGGCCCTCTGATGACTTGTGTTGCAAACGTCCTCTTTGTCCGGTCTTGTAGATCCGAGTCTAATGTAAGCACCACGGTTCTCTGGAAGCATCTGAGCTGACACAGAGTCCATTGTCTGTCTACAACAAATGTCACACGATCATGGCGCTAATCGCTGGTGGTTCGTCGGTGAGTATGCATTATGCAGCGGGACTCGGGACTAGGGAAAACGAATATCGGTATCGCTTCTGACAGGTCCATTACCTGGCATCAATCCGAAATTCGCATGGTCGGATCCACCACTCCACGGAGTAGGAAGAAGACGTTCGGAGCTTTCGTGGACACGGAGGAGAGAGAATCGAATCTTACCTCGAGCACTGTGACATTAGGAGCGCTTGCGGGCCGCTTCGGTAGCGGTATCCCGGAATGACTCCGGATCTGGGCATGGCTCGTGCCTTTCTCTGAGATGGGTAAGACCGTCACGAATTTGCCAGCTTCTCCATGTTTCGCCATTGCTGTCGATCAGGGTAGCCTGGAATGAGAATATAGGGAGATGTTAGATCCTTGAGAAAAGATAAAACCCAAGATGCTTTGTTCCCCGATATCGTTTCTCTCAATATCGATGCACGTGGCACACGCAGAGAAAGTCATTCGGTGGTTCTCCCCGGGTTAAGACGATGCTCACAGAGTGCTCCCCGCAACGAGCACAATGCATCTGGTGAACACGGACCGCAGAGCAAATGTACCCACATGGAAGCAAGATCTGAACGCAAACTTTCCCCTGCATGCATGGGCTGGACCTTCCTGCCGGCTGCAGCATTCTCTGGCTCGAGCGGGGTCTTCGTGGAGTCTCGTACGCACGAGATCGTTCCGCAAGAGGTATGCTTGCTCCGATGACTTCTCGCTCAGAGAGTCGCCGATAATAGTCAATCCATAGGTACATATGTGAATGACTGGAAATCCCAGGAAGCGAATTTTCTCATGATTTTTTTTCTAGCGTACGAGAAAAATCGAGGAGCACCAATCAGGTCGTCGACCCAATAGGTGCTGTGGCGCACTAGTGCGGCTCCGGGCCGCGGGAAGTGAAGACGCTTTGAACTTTTCGAGCTCACGTGCAGGGCGCTGCGCGAGACCTGAATGTCTCCCGGAGGTGTCCGAAGTGATGGAAAATCTCTGGAGAACAGATGATGTCAAGGATGGAGGGAATGAGCCTCCGATCGTCACTCGATCCCGTTCGGGATTTTAACTCGATTACCGACCTTCCGGGGCTTTCGTGGGCAGCCTCGTGGCGATTCTTTTTTCGTGTGGGTGTTGATGGGCATCGGTCAGCATCCTGTTTTTCCGCCGCTGTCGCTACTGTGGTTGCCACAGTGTTCTCAACATCTCTCTGGTCTCGACCGGATGATGGAGAAACAGCTGACGCGAGACAGCTGACGCTAAGTCTTGGAGAGGCCGGCGCTGCGCCGAAGAAGGTACCTTCGCGCGTGCGCATTCCAGTGATGCTATATTGACTCTCATGACTGAATAGGACTTATCCTGGACAAGACTGGCGGATTATCCGCGATATTGAACATTCCATATGAGTCCCTATACACGTTCTCGAGTCGATCTCCAGGTGAAATTTATAGGCTGATTGCATGGTGTTCTGAGTGGGCGGTGTTTGAGTTTTCAGCAAAACGAATAACGCGACGGGTACCTCCGTCCGCGACAGCCGTCTTCTGGAGGAGAGGGATTTACGTGTAAGGCTTCTGACTGGAGATGCATACTCATCGATCAGTCACGCTCCTGACTCGCTCCGCGAAGTGAGAAGAGTATACAGAAGCTCCATACGTTGACGTTTCTTCGTCACCTACGTCTTCAGCTTTGACCTTAGCTTGTTGGGAATCGTCACGGTGACCGGGCTTCCTCATAGACGTACGGAGCTCACCGTTGGCTCAATTCGACTCCTTCATTTTTTTCTTGGGACAATGAGTTGAAGTTTCAACTTGATGGTTTACTCCGTCGACTCCGGGTCAATACGACGCGCAAATGATGTTCTCATGGTTCTCTTCCCATTTCCAGACGGGAGGCCGAGCCTCGTCGGCAAGAGCTTCAGTTTCAATGAAGACTCGTCTATCTCCCTATCCGCGTATCTTCGACCGCACTATCAAATGCCTAGGGATTTCTCCCTCCCACTTCCGGAGCAAATTCCCGGACAGAGCCTCCTGATGAGTGCTCCGAACACGAAGAGAATGTTCTGGCTGTTCTCGATGTTCTTCTATGAGTACCCTACCTCGTCTGAGGGAAGTCGACCGCGTCCGCTTAGTTCCGCAAAAAAACTTCTCCTACCAATCCACGAAAGTTCCCGAGTTCAAATTATTAACTTCGGGAAGTTCATGACTCCACCACAAAACTAACCACACAGCCGTTCACACGGCTCTTGCTAACGAGGCGACAATCTTTGCGTAATTTATTTGCTCACATTATGAACATTTTCCATTTGACCATACGGCATACGGAGGGAGCTTCCCAGCGCCCGACGATTAATCAAGACTTCGAGGAAGAACTAGGTGGTAGTTTTCTTAGCGGAAACGGTCGCGGGAAGTTTCGTGGTTCCTGCGATTCCTGGGTCTCCAACGTTCAGACGGAAAACGAATGGAGTCTTCGGAATGGTTTCCGGAGGAGATACCGATTATACGGCTCCAACGACGTTAAGGCTTGAGATATGTATGCAGGCAGACCGTGAACCAGGATGCGAATGTTCGGTGGGCTGCGTGGAAGCTTCGATGGAAACCGGTGCCATAATGGCTTAATTGTCAGTCGCGGCGGCGGCCTGGACCGTGACAACAGCCGGGCTCTCGTCAACGATGTCAAGCCATCGTCGCGGGTCATCACTTACGAGTCTGTGTCTACCGCGAGGTCGGTGCGCTTCCCAGCATTGTTCCATCGGACGTCTGATGCACACTTCATCGTATTGGAAAATGAGCATCAAAACTTGCCAGTCCCCCCGTAGAAAAGGCAGAGCGACCAGCGAGGAGTTTCCGCATTGAATTGAGCACCCACAGCGGATGTCAGCCGAGGTGCGATTTATTTTTAAGATGGATTCCGAAAAAGTCCGACCAGCTGGAATCTAGTGCGATTTAGCTCGTTCTCCGGTCTGTGCCGCCGCTTCTATGATTCGCTTCTTGAATCGACTAAGTAAGTCTTCCTGGGGCGGGGAAGACTATCCAGGGCTGTCCCTTATCGAGTGCTACGTTCGGTGGGCTCGGTGAAGACGTCTGATGACCTCCGAAGCTGAGCATCATCGAGCCCTCTGGGAGAGGAACTGACGCTTCCCGTCGAGCCGTATCGGTAGAAACTCCTTGTCTATAACTTCCTCTGTCTATTCCTCCTTCTTGAATCTCTTAGTCTTTCGGTGAATAGTCTTTCGCATCCGGGCATGTTCTCGAATCATCTCATCAAGAGGACACGTCACGAACAGACAAGATGGAGCATGACTTCGCTTGCACTCAAGGCCCACACCGGAGGTGACAGGAAGTATCAAGGTCGGATTGGACGATGACCACTGATTCTCTGTGGTGCAATGAAGAAACTCTAATCCACTGCCCAGCTCAGCGTCCGCGATCCGATTGTGAGAGATTTCATGGACTCCGAAAGCGACAAACGGCCGCTGGATGGCCCGAGTATGACTCGCAGACCCGATTTCAACATGGACGTAGCCTCGATCAGTCGGGTTGAGATCGCAGGCCTCCTGAGCTCCGTCAGTTCGCGGGAACAATTCTTCAGACCTTCTGATGTTTCGAACTCGATTCCTTCAAATAAAGGATCCCAAGTACAATGTTTCCACAGTGAAGTGTATTCGAAATCGGTAAATGGAGAAAAAGGAGGAGCAGCGTATCAACGAGACGGCGCTGCTTTTTCCGCGTCTTTGGCCGCAGAATTCGTTCGGACTGATTGGTTGACCCAGTGGTCGATGCACGCCGGCTGCTTCAAACGCGATTCCCTTGTCTGTCCATCCATCTACCTTCTGTTCGCTGGCCCTGTTTGGCTGGCGCGCTCACTCACTAGCCGATTGGTTAGGATTTTCGTTTCGTCTCAGCTTCGCTTACCCGCGTTTCTCAGAGCTCTCATTGAGCTAGCGACGAATATATCGCTTTCCGTTGAGCAATTTTATTGAATTTTACGAAAGGATAGCCTCCGGAGTTTTTCGAGCCCCGAGGGGAGTCTGATCTGATTACGGCCTGAGAGCAGCAATTCACCCTGAAAATTCCATGCGAAACCATCTACGCATCGGGCCATAGAATTTCAGCTGGTGTTTCTCAATACCAGCGAGTCGAAATTCCCGAGATTCGCCATCGATGGGCAAAGTTCTATCGATGCTATGGAACCATAGGAGCAAGATAGAGTGTCGTTCCGGTGGCCTCAGGGAGCATTCATGGGCGGTGTCGCTCTGAGAAGTCCTGCTGACAGAACTCGTGACCGCTAATCCCGCTGGACAATAACATGGATGACACAGCCCCACTTTGTGCGGCGCTCGCGACTGAAAAATCGTTGGTAGAACGGCCAGTCGGTGCCAACACGAACACCCGCTTTTCGAGTAGCTCAAGCATCGTAATAACGAGGCACAGCTGTTTGATACTCGCTACTCGGTTGTTGGACGATTTGTCACAGTGTGATTTATGAGTACACTAACGATGATTAGCGAAACATCGAGTTACCCAGTAGCGACGAGTTCTTGCGAGATTTTGTCCCCAGGCCATACAATCATGCGACCCTCCCGACTGGACTTCAAGTTCTGGTCTTTTCGCGATTCCTGCTAGAATTGTCGGGTGAGGTCCAATGGAACAAGCTTGGCATCGGAACGACTCGGCGCGACAAAGGAATGACTCAATGATCGTGGTTTGTGCACCCATCTGATGCCGACTGCGGTCATTGATGATGTTTTGAATGATAACATGACAAAACGCTCGGATGGAGAAATAACGTCATTGCGAAGGTGAAGGTAAGAACTCGGAGAGAATGAGAGAAACAGTGGAGAATGACCGAGATATGAGAATCGGCACCGCACGGCCATGCTTGATGAAGACGGGAGAAGATGCAAGAGATTCTGGTGAATGTATAAAAATGAACGAAAAATTCGCAGAATCGCGTAATTTCTCGCGGAATCCAACGAAGAGACGGCAGGAGAGCCGGCAAAAAATAACAAGCAGCTGTTGAATAAATGTCCGCTGCTTTGATAGTGTCCCATTACAAACGCTATTTTCATGTTCTCCTCCAGATGCGAGCGAGCGAACTATCTATCTATCTCTCTATCTATCGGACGAACGAGTATTTTCAATTCCAGGAAACGCGGAAAGAAAACAGAGTAGTTCGCCTAGCTGTCGACCCGATTCAATCGCGATTCGTATCAATAAGAATCACGTTTGAAAAGTGGTGATGACCCCACGGGACACTTCCCGCTTTCTTTAAACGTTAGAGTCGAAAGGACTCTTTCTTGCATGAGGAATCTGCATTTCCCCCTGAATTTCCCTCGT